TAACAATTTACCTTCAATAAAAAAAACTGCAATTTATAGAGTTGCTATTCGTATTAATCGGTTCAGTATTAAAAAAGTTACAGTGTATACAACACAAAAAAACACACATTATGGTAAAACCAATAGGATCTCTGCTTTGCATCAAAGCTAAAAACTACAATAAAACTATACACATTTTCTTATAAAATTTGACAACTCTCATTATGTTAAAACATAAAAGATTATAATACAAACTAAGTAAACCAATGCTCTAATTAATGTATCTCTAAACTTTGTACGGTGAATGTAATCCAGCCAGTTACATTTATTTTATTATGCTAGATCGGGCCGGCCTGTGTAGAATCGGACTGAAAATATTTTTAATTACTAAATTAAAATAATTCTACATCGATATAAGTAGGAATAACAACCTAATTCGAAATGTACATTATTATACAACTATTCAAATATTCGAATCTTTAAAAAATAGGTATTCTATCCCAAATTACAGCCCTATTGGACATCTTGTATTCTAGTTAACACGTAATTTTATAATTATTGTGTTTATACATTCATATTCCCTTATTATCTTACATTACAATATAGTATAGGTTCAAACAAAAAACTTTTTTTTCCAACAACAGAGTAAAATCTGTAAAATGTTTTACTGTATAGCGCATTCATAACTGTTCTTATAACGTTAAAACTTAAAAATGTATGCCAACAGTTATTGGTAATTTGTTTACATTTCAATAGTCATTATGAAAAATACTGTATTTTATATAGTTAAATTTGTATGATTATTGATTAAACATATAAGTGCCCTCTAAATATAGGTGAAATAACATATTTTTATAGTTATTTTAAAAAAAACGTTAAACTCTGAAACTAAGTTTGAGGTTTTATCATTGAAGTTGCTTCAGTAGTTCTATATTAACTTTTAGTACAAACCATTGATCACAAATCCTCAAAACAATATTATTTTTAATGCAGCTTGAAATAATTTAAAAAAAATACAAATTAACATTTTCAATAGTTTGGTAAATACATTTTTGCTCAAACAGTGGTTCACAAATTAATACACACGGCAATTAAATATTCGCGCTCCACTTATATTATTAAAAATAGTTTAAACCATTAAGTCAAACTCAATGTTATACAGAGTATTTTGTTTACCAATTTAATACATTTTTATCAAAGTAATACTTTTTCTGTTTGTATCCTAATACATAAAGGTTGATAAATAATGTTTGTTAAAAAGATTGTTATTTCCATTGAGTGTGATAGAGCATGCCTGGAAAACATTTTTTAAAAAATTGAAGTTTTATATTATAATATTCATGTTTATGTATGTAATAGAAGAAAGCACGGGAAGCGGCGGTGAATGATATTTTAAATAAGTATGAAACTTATTTGGTGTGAGATGTTGCTCTCTCTTCCTTCTAGATTACTATTACAGACAGGTTTTAATATTTTATACAGTACATACCTTGCGGAGTCACCAAGCTCAGATGCAATTCCTTGAGTATTGATCTGATATGTCGAAATGAACGTTGTTTTAAACGTAATGTTTTCATTCATAAATATATTTCAGACACTGTTAACGTTATCTTACGTCCAATCTCTCGTAAAGTGAACAAGTACACTCTACCAATGGTATTTAAATAATCAATGCTTCAGAAATAACAAACGTCTAAGTTATTATAACCGACTACATTCCTTGCTGAAAAAATATCACATGGGTGAATAGATTGTTACTGAATTAATTTATAACGACACTTTTAGGAGGTAGGTATAGGTTATATGTATAACGAAAGAACAACTGTATTTCTTAATAATGACACGTGTGTGATAAGAAACTGTACGGTTTAAGTAATTTGAATTGTAATGAATTAGTATTTTTATATAATGACGCTAACGGACTCGGCGTATGTATTTGTAAGGAAATAAGGAAGGATTATGTTATTGGTGGCCGCGGCGGACCTGATAACAGCTACCCGACTTGGCGTCACATAAGGAAAGAAAGGATATTGTGGCCGCGGGGACTGATACCGCTACCCGACTTCGTCCACACAATAAGAGAGGAAGGTTGTATGAGAGATGACAACTACGTTTTCGCCGCTGTGGGCAATAGTGCGTTTCTGTGTTGTTAACGTCTCGGACTTGTCGAGTCGTGTGCTACTCCTTCTTTAATGAACCTAATGGTGTAAATTTACGCCTAAAACGAGTATTACGCTATACTATTCGTATTTTAAGTTTATTGAAATTTTCAAAGAGGTTCTATATCATATTCGCGCGTTGTATATGAATAATAACATGATAGTATATAAAAATGTCACATATAGTATATAATTTGAATTTATTAATTTATTACTGATAGTTTATAATAAGTTATAAACTTAAACATATCTTTATGTTACTACAGTATGCTATGATAAACATACAGGCAATACAATAGAAAAAATCACAGTCGTCTTTTTTATCACTTAAAATATATGGGCGGTTTTATACTAAAGATTCTATAATTATTTAATTTATGTCGTCACAATTATTTAAAAGTTTGTATGGTGTTCTTTGGTTTTCGTTTGATAGCTACAGAAAAGGAATATTGTAATGTGAAACTAAGAGAGTTTACACTTTCGATTTTAATTATACATTTAAAAGTTTAAGTCCATAAATCCGGTGTTCTTGGATAGGGTAAATATATAGACAGGTGGCATGACTTTTTGGCCGAAAAATCAATTTGTTAAAGAGGCATACCCAATAAATGTTCGATAAAAATGTCCACTCAATCAGACCATTTTTCACGAATTTATAGTAAATGACATTGAAAGATAAAAATTTTGTAATAATTAAATGTTTTATTTGGGGGAGAGGTTGATCTCTATTATTAAGATTAA